TCAGTAAATAAAAATGATGTCTGAAAATACTAGAATTCAAATGTTATTGATTGTGTGGGCCAATATTTCCATATTCATAGAAGGCACAGCATTGTATATAGCTAGCACTGGGCAATGAAAGGGTAGAATCAATATGTTATTGGTGCTAAACCTAGTTGTTTCATTAGGGCATCATGTAGGAATATGCTTCCTCAGGCAGTTAGATCAAATCACAACTTAGTTACCTACCCAACTTACCAACTAAACAATTATTGTAAAATACAAATTTAAATTTCCCAAGTTTGAGATTCTTCCTATATAGGACAAGAATAAAGATGCCCACCTTAAAGTGTTACTGTAATGTCAATATAAGGTCAGTATGGGAAAAGACTTTGTTTTTGGCTCGGTATCTGTCTCTAGCTAGGCATCTCCTCATATCCCTTTGCCCCACCCTCCCTTAAAAAAAAACAGTTTCAGGAAATAGTGGTGACGATGGTTCACTTGAGCTGCACATAGATCATTGACATCAGACTGCTGGGGCTGGATTGATTTATTGCCTTCCGGTCAGCAAACAACGATTCTGGGCTATAGCACAGGTCTGTGACGGCCCCCATGCTTTTACCGAGAACCCAGATCTTTCCTCTCTCGGTTTTCAAAGCAGCACTGTGATGTGGCAGTTAGCAAACTCATTTGACAGACATGGATGGATGGAAATACAAGTGTCTTCCCAAGAAACAGAAATTGGTCTGCAGTATTTCTGACTCAAGTGTAGCTCATCCCGGCGGCTTCGGCGGCTTCTTTTTCTGGTTCCCAACACACTCCTTGAGGCCCATGTCTATGGAGGGATGTCAACAAACATGTATTTACCATAGAAGATAAGGTATCAGCTGGTGGCAAGCCTCATACCCAGCTCCCATGCTCCACTGAGCCGATGATACCCTTGTTCTGTGCTCCAGGGAAGTGACCAATGCCTTGTTAATACATCAATAGTTGACATTAAGCCGTCTCCACTACCTGTACATTTAATAATTTGGCTATTTTTATGGCTATATTTATGGAGACCAACGTGTATCAGGGAAGCCATTTCTTCTAAGGCTCCAGGAGGGATTAATGGGACACAGATTGTTTATCTTTCCATTAGTGGAATCTATAAAGCTGAAAAGAAGGATTCTGCGATAAGAGGGATTTAACTGAGAGCCTATAAAAGCAACCCTACCAACTTGTCTATCTCCATGCCAGCCCAGAGGAGGGATGGGAAGGGATGTGCAGCCCCAGGCAATCCTGCTCTGACAGGCTACAGAGCCAGCAGATGGCTGTCCTTCCTGCTGTGGAATCAAAGATGCTCCCAAGTTATCGAGGAGAGGGCTAATGCTCCATTGCTCTTCGTGAGAAACAGACTCTTAAGGATAGTCCAGCTGGTGGTAGACACCCTTAATACTCGCTTGTCCTTCCCCAAGACAGGATAATCATGCAGCATGCATGGCGGCCAGTGGTCATTTTTAATCGTTATGTGACTTGTCAGCTAATCCTTAAAGTATATAAAGTTCAGTGAGATCCCAGGGAAAAAAGAATGAAGACACAGTTCTACTTTAAAACTTTGTAAGATACATGACGATTTTCCATCAGATGTAAACATGATAATATTTAAGATTCTCTGTAATACTGGAAGGCTAGGGAATATTCTCTCTATCCCTATCTCTCTATCTACCCCTATCTCTCTCTCTCTCTCTCTCTCTCTCTCTCTCTCTCTCTCACACACACACACACACACACACACACATACATACATACACACACACAAGAACATACTTTATGCTTTGGTTTTTGTTTTTGAGACAGTGTCTTGTTTACATAGCTCCAGTTAGGCCCCAAACTCACAGAGATCCACCTGCCTCTGCTTCCTGAGATTAAAGGAGTGTACCACTACACCCTGTGCTTTATGCTATTTTGTTTTAAAATTTTTAGGAAACAGCATGTTAACTGTGCAATGAAATAATGATGGGAAAAACACAGCTGTATGCCTGAGTGGAAGGATATAATAATACGCAACGTGATAATCATTAGCTTGAAGCATCCTCAGGAACCTGATACAATTTGTCTAATTATTCCCCCGAACAGCCCTCCTGGGAAAGGCGTTATTATTTCCATTTTCAAAATAAAAATAATATCTTCTCCTGATTTACATGTGTCATTTCTTTTGAGAAGTTTCATTCTTTGCTTTCTGGTTCTTCTTTAAACTTTGAGACTTAATCATTCCCAAAATAAATAACTTTGCAGAGGCAGAATGTTCTTTGCTTCTGTGGATGATTGATAGAAATTCAGTGTTTACCAAACATTTTCGTCATATATCCTGAGAAATTATAAAGTGCCCTAAAATATGGAAGTTAAGAGAACGGTCTGATACAAAAGAAATATAACCAGAAATTGTGGTGCTTTTGCAGAACTTACAGGTGGATATGCTTACAGAAAGTGGGAAGGACAAGTCAGGCACAAAACTAATATGACTCTTGTCTCCCTCACATCTTAAGATTAACTATAAAAAACTGAAGCTTTCACAGTTTTATCTAGAGCAAAATCAGAGTAAAGAGAAGTGGATAAAAAATAAAAGAAAGGAAAATAAAGTAAAGAAGCAGGGAAATTTCCTAAATGCATGGGCAGTATTTGTTTTTAAGTGGCATGCAGCATTTGTGCATAGTCGTGGCTCCAGTGTGATATGCTGATATTTGTACCCCGACTTTAAGAGGTGACCATAGGAGGATTCCAAGGATTCCGAAGAGCTGCTGTTGGGTGACCAAAGCTGCCATAATAAACTGCCACAAACTGATGCTTAAACAGAAGAAATTTATTCTCTGTGCATCAAGGTGTGAGTCGGTTTGGTTCTCCCAAGCAGTCCCTTGGCTTGCACATATACATGTACTTGCAATAAGATCTCACTGTGTAGCTCAGCTGTCCTCAAACTCTGACTCCTGCCTCTGCCTCTCAAAGGATGAGCATCGGGACTGTGCCCCCATACCCAGATTCAGTATCTGATGCATCATCTCACATTGCTGATCAAAGGCATTATCTCTCAATAAGATCACATTCTAGGGGTTGGGGGTTAGGGCTTTGAAGAATTGATTGGGAGGGAGGAGTAGAGTGTAACCCATTTCAGATGCTTTTATTTAAAAAGCAGTTTGTGCTTTCAGAAGAGGCTACTAAAAACATGTTCTCACTCCTACAGTATAAACCTGGGAGATCAACAATGCTTTTCACTCCTAGAATTTTCTGTCAATCCACTAGACTCAAGTTCTTCTCCTGTGCATTCCCCAAAGGTGATTCTGTACATTCTCCTAACAGTTTATTGGCTACTTCCCAAAGCCTCAAAGACAAGGTAATAACTGTAGCCATGTGCTCATGGGAGAGCGGTTCATCACTTTCTCACTAATCCTATATGGTCAGGAGCAAACCCAGGCAATCTGGCTTTCCAAGTTTTGTGATACCCACTCTCTGCTACAAGTCGGAGTGTGTTTTTGTCCCAGATGGCTTTACCCTGGACTATGTCACAAAGAGTACAGGTGTTTGCTTGGTGTTGGCATTCTCGTACCATACAATCAGCTAGAGAACCGCCAACCCCACCTGCTGTTGACCACATTAGTTGGAACAAAGTAAAGTTAATTCCGGGTGATGCTGGAGAAAGTAAACAAAATGTTCAAAGGGAAGTTTCTTTTAAAATCATCTCCAAACCCATGAACATGTATTTTCTATCACTTTGAGAAAAGTGACATTGACTATCATAATTTGAAAACACATGAATGGGGGTTATTTATACTTAATATGTATTATATTTATACTAATCTTATGTCACCTAGATGAACTATGTGTTAGGTTATTGTTATTAACTTCCTGGCCCTTTTAACTAGCAAGCCTCCTGTATTTCTATGTGTGTTCAAATGTGATTTATCTGGAGTACTTGTGATCTACATACATATATTACATAATTGCATAGTGATGTAAAATCAGTAGAAATTCATGCACTCATTCCTTCAGTTGGCAGCTGCTTAGTCATCTAAGTGATGGAGAGTATACCAAATGCCAGGGATCCGAAATAGTTATCTAAGTGATGGAAATGATAACCAAATACTAGAGAGACGAAATGTATAAAGGGCTCACGTCAAGTGGAGAAGAGAGGACACTGAACAGGCCTAATTTTAGATAAGGCAGCAGCTTTCAAAGCTGAATATGCAGTCAATTCACAAGGAGGGTTTATTCAAGCCCACATTTCTTGTCACATTCAATGAGTTGAGAATTTGCATTTCTAGTACATTCCAAAGTGCCGTTGCTCAGTGAACTCACCAAGAACTGTTCATCCAAAGTTCTGAGTATGTAGAACCATGGCAGCCAGAAGAGGGATGAGAGGCATTTTTATTAATGGGTGGAGGAGAACGATGGAGGGGTGAGAATATGAGACATACTCTTAGCTCTAAAGCCAGAGAATGTGACGATGTTGCCAATAGTACTAGTAGACTAAGACAGGGTTGGAAATAACTAAGGGAGGTGAATCTAGAGTGGAAGAAAGGTCCCAGAGCTGCACTTGGGAGCCTTGACTGAATGCTACACCATAGAAGTCATGCGACTATCAACCTTCAATTAGACTTTAAGCTCAAAGCGAAGAACCCTCGTAGAACTTTGTCCAAACTTCCAGAAAGCCTTCTCTCTCTGCTTTCCATGTTGGCAAGAAATCTTTTTCATTGTCCCAATGGCAAATCCTACTGGGAGGTAATGTGAACGGCATGGAGGGTGTATTGATTGTGTGAGCTTTTACCCTTGACCACCTAGCCACAGGGAAATGGTTTCAGAATACCACGACCAATAATTGTTTCATGATGGCTGACTTTTAGAAAGCCCTAAGCTTCAGTGACCTCTGATGGCCTCCTGTCGCTCAGAGGAGCATGACAACCATCTAGAAGGAGAGGAAGGGAATGGAAGAAATTCCTAGAAGCTGGGTCTTAATGAAATATATTTTGCTTTATTTTCTTTTCTAGGGGAAGATGACGACGACGATGAATGTGGGGAGGAGAAGCTGCCCTCTTGTTTTGATTATGTGATGCACTTTCTCACAGTGTTCTGGAAGGTTCTGTTTGCCTTCGTGCCCCCTACAGAATACTGGAATGGCTGGGCCTGCTTCATCGTCTCCATCCTCATGATTGGCCTCCTAACAGCCTTCATCGGAGATCTGGCTTCCCACTTTGGCTGCACCATTGGCCTGAAAGACTCCGTGACTGCAGTTGTGTTTGTCGCTCTCGGAACCTCAGTGCCAGGTAAAGGATGATTTGCAGAACTCCCCAAAACTAAAACACACACACACACACACACACACACACACACACACAAATACCTTTGAGCTCATTTCATGTTGGCCAGCTACTCCTAGGCATGGGGCATGACCTGGAGTGTGGATGATATACCCAGTGACACTCCTTTGGAAAAATCAAAAAAAAAAAAAAAAAAAAACAAAAACTGGTTTTTCATTTCCCAGCAGGTATCAGTTCCAAATAACTTCTTGGTTAGGGTTGGGGCTTTGTGTCACCTTCCCCTTCCTCAGTACTGGAAATTTGTCTGGTTGAAACCTGTGCAGGTCTTGTGTGTGTTGGCACAGTCTCCATGAGTTCTCATGTGTATCAGTCCTGTTCTGTCTGGAAGATCCTTTTCCTTGGCATCACCCACCACCTCTGGCTCTTATAATCTTTCTGCCTTTTTTTCCACATAGATCCCTGCACCTTGAAAGAAAGGATTTGATCAATTTAGTGCTGAGTGTTCAAAAGTCTCTCACTCACTCATTTCGCACTGTTCAGTCTTAAATCACTCTTTTAATCTCCATCTATGACAGGAAGCTTCTCTGAGAGGGCTGGAGCAATGCTTGGCTCTTTGGGTATAGGAATAAGGCAATGTTGTGCTGCTGCTGCTGCTGTTGCTGTTCTTAGTTTTTTGATTGTGAGAAACTCCAGTCCTCTCTTCTCATATGCCAGGTTTTTCCCCTTCCTTCTCAAATTCGCCATCCTGTTGACATAAGACATGGGGCTTGAGACTGCCCTTTCATCATGGACTCAGTCACATGACAGACCTACTCAGAGTTCTAAGACCAGCCACCAGCCAAAAGAGAGAAGGGACCATCGCACTGCTGGCTTACCTGTGGCTTTGATAAACTTCAACCACACTCTATACGATAAAAAAATGGACCACAGCAATTGACTCCTTATTAAAAGAATACAACAAAACCATTAGTTGTTGTAATGGTTTTCCTGCTCTGCCAGAAATTATTCCCATTGGGACGTAGCCTTCTTTGCTGTAATATGATGAAATTGCCTATGATTTATTATAATATTAACTGTACATCATTCTCCCTAAATAAGATATTCACAGGAAGTTTCAGAATATAT